CTCTGGTTTACAATGACCAATTAACAGTTTCTTCATTTTAACTTGCTGGTTTTAAGAACTAATTTTACAACTGCAACCCACAACTGGGACTGCTTGACACCAAATGCTATGTTGGGCCCACAGACCCTGAATGTGATATATTGAAAACTCTAAAATAAGCAAAAGTCTCCTGAAAAGGCATTTTCATTAACACAGCGCTGTGAAATCTTCACTTCTAGTGCCAAAAAGTCAATACATCTGACACTACATTTTGAGAACACAAATATTTGCTATGAGTCGGTGTTCACAAGTGACAGATCAAACTTACACTCAAACTCCACTACATAGTCATTGCTTCCTTCTTCCCAGGAAGAGGTAAATCAGAGATCACATTCTTCCCCGCCCCCCCCCCGCCCATGCTCACGAAAGGGGTACATCATCATAAAAACAATTTTCCTCTTCAAAGCTCAAGCAATCCAGCAACAAGAGAGGATGAGGATGGTATTAAGTTATGCTGCTTAACTGCAGAGGTTAACTGTTAGAAAAAATTAGGATGACAAAGCTGCTTAAAGAGACAACCATAAGACACAGGCAGGATGGATGATCATTCCCTACCCTCATGCACAAGGTCAGAAAAAGTTCCAAAACAACATCAATATAATTTGAAAACTATTTAAAATACCTTGTTTAAAATAACAAATTAAAAAGTGTTTCTTTGCGTAGCACACTTCCTGTGGTATAAAACTTAAGACATTTCTTACCTTGAGCCTTGCCCTAGTTACAGCTTCCCTAGCTAAGCTTCCAACTACACCTTAAACTGAACTGGATACCTGAGCTTTGCTTGACCACGATCCTTGGCCCAATCAGAGATGGAATCAATCCCAAAATTTAATTTACAGCACACTAAGAACTGATGCAAGTTGTGTTGGCTGGGTTAGTTCTCCACAGCAGTTCCCTTAGGTAGAGATCACCACAGCACTGAATTTCACTGTCCCTACCTCTCTCTCACCCCAAAGCTCTCTGTTTCAGACAGGCTAAGATATGGCACAAAGCCAGCAGTGCCAGCCTTGTGTCACATCACATTGCTTCAGGATTTCCAACCTTACCTATTCTGTAAGGGCAGCTTTTTATCTCCACGCACAAACTAAGCATCACCAAAGTAAGAATCAAACCTTATCTTTAGAAACATTTTAATGGAAACCATACTGTACGCTATGGAAACTACAGCTATAATGCAAGTTTGTGAGCAGAAAGAAAACAGAAGAAAAAAGACAACACAAGATTGAAAATTAAGATAAGAATGTTATCTTAGATTAACACCTCTTTTCTCCTATTGTGCAAGAGTGTTATAGACAGTACACAAACTGCGCTATGGTTGTAGAGAGAATCAAGGTGGCAGGCAGTAGTTAGCATTGCAGTTTTGGGTACGTGCTCCATACAGATGTGAAACCACAGAAGACAGTACTGAAGGCCTTTAAAAATTACATCACTGAAACCCTAAGTTAATAAAAAAAAAATTTGGTCTTCAAGGGCTGTAATAGATGACAACATCTTTAAAGCTGGCAAGTGTTCTCTCTCCTGACGAGGATAACTCCATTGTTTAAAACACCACTAACCTAAAAACTGTGCATCTAGGTAGCTCTACACACACACACAGTTATTTAATACTACAGTTTTAGAAGTTGTGTTATGTTACAGCTTATAATATCCAGCTGTGGACTGCAAAATTATATTGAGTGTACTAAGGTAGAAAATAAATAGCTAATTATGCAAAAAATGGGCCTTTATCGACAATATTTTTAGTTTTCCTTAACCAAGTTTTGCTCTGTGTTTTTATTAAAAAACAAAAAGACAAAAGCTTAGCTTGTTAAGACAGTATAAAGCTTTCTTTTCCTGAAGAATCTTGCAAGGAAGGTTTTACAAGTTGGGAAATCTTTGGCAGTTCTTTAGCAGTTCTGACGTTTTTTTACTCTACCTGAACAACCACAGTAAAACACTGACTAATACTGAGAACCAGGAAAATGATGCTTCTGTGATAAATATGAATTTGTATGTGCTATTAAAGAAGAAAGTGACTTAATAGATCAAAAGATTAATTTTCCCACCTCTCTTTGTACCCCCTCCAACTATCAACCTGCTCCTCCTGCCAGCAGACAGTATAAATTGAATTCCACTGAAATCTATGCTTTTAATAGGCTAATAGACTGTTACCTTTCTGGATACTGGTTTGAAGCTATTCAGCTCCTGCCTGGAAAATTCATCGACACTGTCTCCTGCCACAAGCAGGGGAAAAAAATAGCTAAGCAATGTGATAGCTAGAGAACGCAGCATCAGTCAGTTCTGATTACTGCAGCAGCTCTCCAAAACTCCCAATTTTCAAACTGTGCAAAATTTCCATATCTTCTTTTTAATCCAAACACTTTATTCAAATACCAAACCCAGCATTACAAAATGGACTGCATCATGAACTGGCTTCATTTGCTTCTGAAATGCTGATATAAAAAACACTGGAGAACCACAGAAATGCAAAATTTTACTTACTTGAGAATTCGTAAATTATAGTCAAATAAATAATATCAAAGTACAATGAGCTGTGTGCCTGAAATTCTGGATCTGCAGAAACAGAGGATCAGAGGCCTCTAACATCAAGATGCTTTGAGGATAAAAACAAAGTGAAGATAAATTTCTTCTCCATCTTCACAGGGATCTAGCATATTTGTCTTCTGCATTCCAGAGCTTAGCATAGCTTTTGGGCTGTACAAAAAATTATCTTTTTCTGTTTTCTTAACAGGATTTCAGAATTCCTTATTTGCTCTGTATTATTAAGTCAGGAAACAGCAGGGATAATGATGCTCCACCCTTTGACCAGGAAAAGAAGAAAGAGCAATTCACTTACCTGGGAAAATAGAAAGGACAGCCAACTGGAATTAAATGCAACTAATCAGGCCTAATTAAGGCAGAAGAGACCAAAGTGGAGCATGCTCCTTTACCATCAAGTTTAGATGAACAGCTATACAAGGACCAAATAAGGCCTACTCCTGTGAGGTTTGTCAGCTAGTACTTTGTCTAATACTCTTCAATACACTATGGATAAAGAAAAGGACTGCTCTAAGGCATCAGAGCCATAAGGTTTTCACTCCTTTTAAGCAAATTACTATTAAAGCACATTTATGGAAGAGAAAAAGATGCTTTAATCACCTAAAATGTATTGCAAACTTATGCTTTATTTTTACTTAGTTATGTCAACACATCACAGCCAAAATTAAGAGCTCCACCATACAAGGTAAGATGGTCCTTCCTGAAAAGTTTACAGTTCAAATAAATGAGATGGAGAAATCATACGATAAAGAAAGATAATCCCTACTTGATAAGATGAAAATGAAGCAACACTCCAAGATCATGGGGAAAGAAATTAATTTAACTAAAAACTGAAACTAGCTTTCCTGAGTAACAGAAGAGCTATCCTGTCTTTGTGACAGCTGTTCTGATTTATTAGCCACATTAGGAGACAAGGAGTTCCTGGAAAACTGACATAAAAATGGGATATATGTGAAAATACTCGAAATTACTGCAGAATCATACCAAGGCAGCAATTCTGTGAAGACATAACTCAAAGCATATATTAACTATTGGCCGTCTACCAATATTGTATGTGCTAGTGCTCCAGATCTACTTACTGTTTGAGATTCAGATGAACAGGTAAGATAAGTGAAGCTCAGGAAAGAGAAATTTATCCCAGGATACATCTAGAGCTTCTTTAACAAAAGCATAGGCAAGCATACAAGATCACTTTCTATAAGAGCCTTAGCATCCAAAAAGCACTGCAATAAGGTTTCACTGTATCCTCCAGCTGTAAGATTAAGCCCCGTAATGTAGTTTTTATATTCACTGCAGAAGAGCTTCTCCGCATGCATGACACACTGCACCCCATTTCAGCAGAACACGTGTTCTGTGCTAAAGTAGTCTAGGTACAATTCAAAGAAATGGACCCAAAAAAAACCCCAGCTTTTACAGAATTGAGTGCTGCTACAATTTCACGATAATCATTTTCACCAGTCACTCATGTTCTCTGCTCCCTTAGTTCACTGACATGACTTTAAAATGAAAACCAAGGCATACTATAAAATGTTATTTTGTCCAATGGTCAGAACATTCAACCTAACAGATACATAAAGTTAGTCAACATCACGTGACGACTAATTTTCTGTAATTTTTCCTCTCAAGTTATCAGTGATAATTGCACTGCCCCAAACAGCAAGGTACGCAGAACATTATGTCATACAAAGTGATAATCAATTATTATACCACTTTAAAATACCATTTGTTAACTAATGGTAACTGAAAACTTGATTTTTTCATAGCTTCTTAAAACATAATCAAGAGTGATCACCTTTCTCCTAATCCTTGAATGTCTATAATCTACTCCAAGAGCTTTTGCCAAGCTCTTTTTCTTTTGTTTTGCCATCTGACAGATACACTTGGACATCTAGAGGCATAATCATTTGACCACATCAGAAAGTCCACAGTAAAAAGTTTCTGTATAGTCATGCTGGAAGATATGAAAGAAAACAATGTCAATACTCGTGTTGCTTTTATTTACAGTTCATCTCCAGAGCCCTTTCAAACGAGCACATTGCTTTCTTGCAGGATTATAAAATCATGTATTAGGCAGCAGCTGATTAACATAGGGAATGATAGCGAACTTTTGCTTAATACAAATGCCAAAATGAATAAAGAAAAAAATGATGGGCAAGTTGGAGGAAAAAGCTGTAAGGCAAGTCAATTTTTTAATTAAAAAAAATTGCGTACCAGAGAATGTTAATGAGCCAAAAGTTTGTTCTCACTCAGACCTGATTGAAGACACATTCTTTTTTTCAGTGTCATAGCAAAACTTGAAATCTGAAAGTATCTTATTCATTGGGTTACTTTACCCACTTACTTTCATCCATTCAAAGTTATCAAACTAGAAATAGAGAAGACAAAATGTTCACAAGTCACAAAGTAAAAAACAGCAATGATACCTTTAACTTCTTCATAAATACTATCATCTATTGGTTCACTGCTCACTTGTCCAACATCGTCATACTCCTCTTCCTCCTCCTCAGGAATAGTAGTAGATTCCATGTCTATGTAACAGCAGTTTAAAAAGTTAACATTTACTAGAAAAGAACGCCTAAGAAGAAATCTATGCAAAACAAAAACACAATTCATCTTCTATGAGCTGGTGCTTACAATATATTCTGCTTTTTTCTTACAGTGTTCATAAAGAAGAACTTTCAAGCTAGATAGTATTCTTGGAAAAAAGCAAAAATCTTGCACAAGGAGAAAAGTCATGTAAAGGAGCTACAACGTGATTGAGAACTATGACTTGCTATTCCAAATTTGGACAAGTGGGAATACTAGATATACAAACGTGACAGATATGTTAATGGACAGAACTATGGTCACTAGGCAGCACTGGCAATAAAGGCTATTGCTCTACTGGCTGGCTTACCTTGAATTACAAATTTGACTTGCTGTACCCATTCTTCTGCTTCTTTGGGAGTGGCAGCTGTAAACTATTAAACATTTATTAATAATTACTAGCAGTAATGACAAAAACACAGCTACAATTTCATTAGCAATAAAAAAGAGGGATTGTAGCATTCTCGTCACTTCCTCAAGAAACCATTAGTAATTCTTTTCACATCTTCTCGTACTTTTCTTGCAAGGATGCTTCTTATAATGTACAGCTAATTTTGACAAATTTACGTAATTGAAGGAGAGGATGATGGATTTGAAACTCTGATCAGCAGCTGGCAGCTGTGCAGAAAAAAGCTGCTTCTCTTCATCAATGTCAAAGCCAGAACTGATGAACAAAATTTGCCCTTGACAATTAGAAGACACCCATGAATTTCTTTAGACTGCTGGGTACAGTTTTCTTAAAAATGTTCTTGTCAGACTCCAACACACTACCTGACAGCTTAATTAACTGGCTTTCAACTGCAATCTCAGATATTTAAAACTTATTAAACTTACATTCCATATTGATGTCTAGCTGATAGATCTCTGAATTGCACAGCTGATATGTGCCTTTACGTAGATTTTCCTTGCAAAGCCATGACCAATACAATATGTATTTAACACTGATATATATTTTACCTTTTTTTTACTATTTAATTCATCCAAGAAATCATGCAGACATACCATACAATAGATATTAAAACGCTAACATTAAAATGACCAATAGATAAAGATGATAGATTTCCTTGCTCTTGTCCAAAAAGATAATATTTGAACACATACATACATATTTTAAATCAGATTTTTTTCCTAATATATGAATATACAATATAAGCAAGCGAGGGTTTCCTTTTTTCATTAAGATGTCAGTGAAAGTTGTTTTACTGAAATGTTAATTCAGTAACTGGAATTGTAACAGCTTTATCAATTTAATTTCAAGTCAACATAAAAAAGTCCAACCTGATAAATGCGCTTATCAGGAGCAGAGATTTCAAAACAGCAATCTTTCTTTGCATCCTTCCGAAGGCTATTATTCATTCTGATGGTGTAGCCCTCTAAGGCAAATTCACCTTTCTGTTGTTTGTCTGTTGGAGATAAAAAACAAAGTTAGAGCTTCATTTACAACAGTGAATATAAGTGGCTCAGCAGGTTATCGTTTATTCAGATTTTGTTTTCTATTTCATGAATTTTACAAAGAACAGGGAGGTTTTTAGCAAAATGATTCAGTGATGCTTCTGGAGATAAAGCTTCATTTTAAAAAAAGACGTACACAAAAGTACATATTTCTGTAGGATGCCTAAGGAATTCCACAGGGGGATGTTTGCAGATGGTGGTCTTATTTAGTAAGAAGTGCATGTTATGACACTTGTATCTAGGGAAAGCCAAGAACTGGAACTTGCAAGACACGCTTCCTATAAATCAGTGTCTCTTTCAGGTTCAGTAATCAATGGGAAAACCTGTCTAGCCCAGAACATGCTGAGCTCCCTCCTAAACTAACCACTTCACTCAAAAAATAAACTTCAAACTCCTTTTTAAGCAATTGCAAACGTTTCTTTTCACATTCTCCCACCCACTCCCAGATGTGCCTCCTTTCCACATGGCAGAAATACAGAATGAATTTTGTTATAAATTCAGGCGTGTGTTCCAAAAGCACTTCTCTCAACACAACAAATGTTTAATTAGCTAATAAAAGTACTGAGCCCTACCACAGTTTATTACATAGAGCCATGTGGTTGTTTTAAAGACAATTCAACTTTTCAAAGGTTCTGGTTTATAAAAGTATCACTTAGAACAGGCCTGAGTTTAAATATACTGCATGTCGGGCAAGCGGCACCTGTGCGCGCTTTCTGAGCTCTTCAGACCAAGCCCTACATCTGATTTTACATGCTCTGGCATGTTTTGATGAATATTAAAAACAAACAAAAAAAGTAAAAGTAAATCAGTTTTGCAATTTCTGTAGATCACAGTGCAGCATGCAAGTGAAAATAGGCATCATGAGTCACATTTTGCTCAGGCAAACAAAGAACAAAGTGCAGTTGGAAATGAAAGAAAATGCTATTAAGTGTGGGTTTTTTCCACAGTAGAGAAAAGCATTAATTAACAATAAGCACCAAGCACAACAGCAAAACTACTTTAAGTATTGCTGAACAGAACTTAGGTGCAAATCAAGCATCCATTGCTTATGTTTGTCAACCAAAAGAGAAAACTACAGTAGAAAAAAACCAGGGAAAACTACAATTTTCAACATAATTCTGTCATCTGTCTGGAAATTTTATTGGAAAGCAAATCTTTTTCCCACTCCTGAGAGGGCAAAACATAAACATGAACACCAGTGGATGTAAAGGCAGTGACCATATAAATACTTTTGCTAGTAATCTTACATGACCATAGACACAAATTCTTTGTCCTTCCACCTTTTTATGAACTCTCACCCAGGGCAAGTAAATACCAAATAACACAATTATATGAGAAAACCCAGGGCACTTCTATTTTCTCTTCAAGTCCCTTCCCCCATGTAAGTTTTATTATTTCTTAATTAAGTACTAATGATACAGTACTAGTATTTTTTATTTGCTCAATCCTCCACCCCTATATCAAACAGCACACAAATGCAAAATTCATGGAATTGCACCAAGGCAGAGATTAGAAATAATAATTTGCAATAGGTTAAGTAGGTCCCCTTTTAATGAAATTCATTTCTGCCTAGAAGTTTTATTGTTCCTTCACTTGTGACCTCAGGGAGAAGATGAAGTGAAACACATTAATTTCTCACTCTCCCATTCTGGAGTTTTATCAAACCCCAAGAAGATAGGAGCACGTAGACGGAATAAACAAACACCAGGTTCAAAAGGTAAAAACATTTTGTCAAGATAAAAATGAGGCAAGTATTCAAATTTAGTCTCTTGGATTATTTCTGAGACTACTTCTCTGCGACATGGATGATCCCTTTTACAGTAATACAGTTTTACAGAACTAATCTCAGATGATCTCTCTACTGGTACTCGTTCATTCAAAGAACATTACAGCTAAAATAGAAAGATGCTGTACTTTGCACTGGAAGGGGAACGCAGTGAATGGTATCCATATTGCATTTGATTTTTTTATTGTTTATACTGTCTTTGTCTTATCTCTCTGAACACACTGTTCTAGTGCTAATGAAAATTACCTGTATGCACCACAAAATATATATATATATATATCCTTTGCTATTAAATTCTTTCACTGACCTTTATAGCAACAGACTTATAGCATTACTACTTTTGCTTCTAATTGTCTGTGCAGTAAAGTACCTCTGATTAAAGCCCAGTGTAGCATTACACATATGCTTAAAATGTTGACCATGGGGAAATTTTAAGACAATAAGACACTTCACAGCCCTGAGCAGAACCCATTAAAGTTAAGAGAAAGACTCTATGCATTCACACACCCTGTGGCAGCAAGCCAGAGATAAGACCTAGTACATCCTGAAAAACAGCTCCACCTATACAGAATCATAGCATTGTAGAATCATAGAATGTTTTGGGTTGGAAGGGACCCAGGTCAGCTATAGCTTAGCTGCATGCTCTAATGGTGACAAGCAATGGAGGTCTACAGATCCCAGTTGCTCTTGCAGAATACAGCTTTCCAGGTAGGACTGGAGACCATCCCCAATACCTGATCACCGTGAAGCAAACCATGACCCATGATAGCTGTCTGGCCAGGCACAGTGGTCAGGTGCAGGCTTGAAGGCAGGACCATCTCGTGATCATCACACTCGGCTATCACCTTGACTTCATTTACCGGCAAAGGCTTGCAGCTAAATAGGTGTGCAGACAGACTCAGGCTTTCAGTTTAAAGCTGCCATGTGAAGTTAGTGCCACAGTGACTTCTGTGTACTTTCACATTCAGAGTTACATTGTTTATATCAGAAATATTTTCTGGAGACACTACTTTAGGGAGATTTAACCAGTTTTTGATGTTTAAAAACTTTGAAGACTTAAAGATTTTACTTGGAGACTTAAAATTAGATATAGTTGGGGTTTATGGTGGGAGACTTAAAGGTGGCTTCAGGAAGCACATTTACATTAGAACTGGAGCTTTGGCTAGGCAGGAATACAACAGTATACTTAGGAGGAACTAGGGAGAGACATGCAGATGGAACACACTTCTCTGAAGAGCGATAACATTCTTGCCGCCTCTTATTTTCTCAAGATAGGGCTTTGCAAGTCAACAACGGGAAACCCTTAAGTTGTCCCAGAACAACATATAACAAAATTGCAGAAGTATACTACTATCAGTCTTGCAAAACCGAAAAGGATCGTGAACATCATCAAGCATAAGTTGTTCCACAACTAAGTAAAATCTCATTTCAGAATAAGCTGGTCTTTGCCCTCATCTCCTCGTCTTCCCTTCTCCCCATATCAGGCACACAACAGAAAAATAAATCTGGGTCTGTGTAGATCATTTTGCATCAGGAATTTAGAATTGTAAGAAACTAGTATAACAGAGTAGAGAGTCAGGCACTAGGTATTAAAAAAAAAAGTCAAAACAAATACATAGATATTTGAGAGAAATAAATATGGGGAGCTATATTTAAAACAGAGAAAATACGGATCTGAATGAATTTTGAGAGCCACTTTAAATATTTTTCTTAACTATAAACTTCATTCATCCTAAAAATAGTGAAATGTTGTTAACAAGGAAACAGGGCTAATATTATATTGGGGAGGAAAAAAAAAAGAAAGTCTCAGGGGAAACAGAGAAAAAGAGCTTTGAAGTAACCTTGCGTAACTGAGTCCATGGGAACTTTTAAAACAAAGAAGGGTAAACCTTCAACGGGGTCTTGAAATGATTGGGTTGTAAATTTGAGGCCTAAGGCGATGTGCCCATATTATTAGCACATGTAAAAAGAATTAGTGCATTCTGAAGAACAGAGAGGACTCGGATAGTAGAAAGGAAAGAAGTTACACAGAAAGGCATAAGGAACAAAGGCAAACAGAAAGATTTCAGAGAGTGATAAAGTATTTATAGATACTATTAGAATCTATAATTTAACTCTCTTCATCTTGAAATTAGGAGCCTGTAAGATCTTATGGTTTACATGGCTTCATGCTAAATGTAGTTTCACATACTTTTTCATACGCAGGATGTCTGGTTTCTAAAAATAGTAAGTGTCAGTATCTCCAAAATGGTAATTCCTTTTCCAGCTTTTGGAACAGTCCTTTCCAAATGCATGCATAGGAGTTCTTCCCTTTTAGACAGCAGATCTGAAATGCAGATCTGAAATGACTTTTTTTTGCCTTTCCTTTAATCTAGTCCTCTGAAAAATCTAAATTAAAAAAATTTAAAAATTAAAAAAAAAAAGAAGAAATGGAGGCAATGCTTGAAACACACTATTTAGGGTACTAGTTTATATTCAGTTTGCTTACACTCTGTTGTTATTTTTTAAATAACATGCTATTAATGGCAAGTGTGCCTCTCAAGGTCTGAATTTAACATTCTCATAGCAAAAGATTCAGTACTCATTTGATAGCCATCACCCTGCCAACAGATTCCTATTGAACATTCACAATTCCTGCAGATTTCAGTTATGGATTCTATCAAAAGTAAAATCTAAACTAAACAAGGATTTTTGCCTTTCCTATGTAGTTGTTCAGACAGGGAGGACTAAGAGAAGGTGGTCTGTAACTAAAAGCAAAATGATAGTTCCACAGCTTTCCATTGGTTTTGTGTATCTTTCCTCACTCCTAGAAGGAGAAATTTGCAAGCTTAGCATGTGGGGGAAATTCCAGTAGTCTGGACAGATATGCAAATGAACTCTAACTAGGCTTCCCTCTCTTCAGTCACAAAGTTCTTCAAAAAAACAAAACACAAAATAAAACAAAAACCCTCTTTTACACAAATAGAAGTAGTCCATTCATTGGCCTGGCCATCACTATCTTACTATTCAGAGAAATGCAAAATTTTCATGTCCATGTTAAAAATATTAAAGAAAAAACCAAACCCAACACTCAGACTTTTCTAAAAGCCTCTGAATTATCCCCCTCTTCAAAATCATATTACTGGCAGGCAGGCAGATACCATTTTCAAGTTATAAAAATGAAAATAAATTTTTAGTGCCCATTAACAGGGGAAAAAATTACCCTGATGTTATCAATTACTGTCTTGCTAAACATTTAGCTGATCTCTCCAGTTTGCTGAGACAGAAGGGCATATAACATTGTGGCCTAGTGAGGATATATGATATGCAAGCAGGGTACCCAACTTGGGAAGCAACAGCATGGAAGCAAAGAGAAGGACTGTAAAAAGTTTATGGAAGGAAAGCCTATGAAAAGGAGAACCAGGCAAGCTTCTGGAAATTCAAGCCAGCTCTGGCACTTGAACACGCTTCTATGCAACGTTGTGGGTCACACGCTGGCAACAGGCATTGCAGCACAAGCACAAAAATACACTCGCTTCCTGCAATACCCATTTCTGACATGTAATTAGGTCAAACCTTTAAGCCTTCTTCCTCCATCTACTCCACATATCATTGATCAGGGAAAAAAAAAGTAAGTGATTCACTTAGACCTGTCTATATTGCAGGGATAAATAACATTGTTTCACTATCCAATGCTGCATCAAATGTACAAGAAAATAGAGGAGGAAACAGGGAAACAAGACATTCATTAGCCTGCAGGCATCGCAACTGTTGAAAGGATGCTTGTAATATCTTAGGTGAGCACACAAACATTCATTGGTGAGCACACAAACATTCATCTACTGTATTTTCACAGGCTTTAGCTTGTACTATATTCTCCTGGACTAGGCCTCATATTTTTCATCATTCAGGTCTGAATAAATGATTCTGAAACTTTTCCTTACATGTGAGCTTTACACACTCCCATACTTCTTGCTTTCCCAGTGGAAAAAGGAGAAAGTTAGAAGAATTAGAAGTGTTACAGAAACAACAAATCCACACTACCTAATGAAATGGCATCCTGTAGTCCCACATTTAGCATTCAGTTACATTTACAGCTATATTTAAGCACAAAAATCAAACCTTGGCCAGCAAAATACACACTGCACCAGACACAAAATATCTTTCACCAATTATTTGCCTACATGTCTGGTTTTAAAAACATACACAATGCAAAACAAGCCAAGCAGGACCTAGAAATCCCTGCTGCCTCTCTGCCTTATGTCCCACAACAGACAGGCACTAGCACTCCATTACCCACTAAAAAGTGACGCAGGCAGCAGGACTGAGCACATATGGAATCCCCCTCTCCCTTGTCTCTCTTCAAACCAGGTTCACATCGATGAAGAGGAATTTTCCTGTTGTGTGAATCAGTCCTGGAACCTGTCAGACACCAGGACCCAGCTGATACAAAACATCTGCAGGCACTGCACAGGCAAGGGCAGACCAGCATCGTTTAGACAGATGCCATCCCAACTATTCAGGAGGTGGCAGCAATTTGCACAAAGCCACCCAAACGCATGCTTCACCACTGTTCTACAGTTGGTAAGAACACAACTTAATTTTCTGCATGGTCCAAGTTATCCGGTACAGCATCAAGGGTCACAGCAAAAGAAGAGCCCCAATACGACAGCGTACTACGGCAGGTACCACTGCTAGCCATAACAGGGGGAGTAAAAGCAGTCTCAGGTTCTTCCAGTGACTAAATGCCAGATCTCCTCAGGACCACCTCATCGCACACCTCATCCATGCTGACAATCTGCAGCTAAACAGCATAATAAACAGTAGCACGTACGTTCACAGCGATCAGGACGACAGCTCAGTTTCAACAGCAAACTAGTTTGCCATGGAACTACAGCAATCACTGGTATCGTTTCCACACAATGATGGCAATTTGCTTCTGCACTGGAACAGGTACCTTTATGTACTACAGCATCAGAGAGCTGAAGAAAGTACCTCTGACCAGTCTGGAAAAAAGCTTTCTTCTTCAAAGGCAAGTTCTGGAGTGACTGTTGGTCATCCCAGATCTGCAAGACAAAACGATTCCACCATGCTGCACTAGTTTTTCTGCACTAACAGCACTGGTCATATGGAGTTAGGGCAGAAATTCATACATCTGATTTGTTTCCTCCATGAGCTACTGTTTGGAGTTTGGCCATGTCTATACAATTCTCAAAAGATAATCCATGGACTCCCACCTCATTAGGTTACAGTTAGAAGGATCTTCCCCAAGCAATCCACAGCCCACAAAAGCTGTAAATGAATAAGCCAAAGCATCTGTCTATAGATCCATAAAGGAAAGAGATCCCACAGTATACCACAGTCAGTTCCGAACATGACACCAACCTGCTCAGTGCTGGGGAACATGCTTCCATGTATCTTAACTTTCAGCATAGGTATTAGAAATGACAACGTAGCCTTGATAGTCAGGTTGTTGCAAAAGACAAAAAAAAGGATGGAAAAGGGCAGGCGGGCAGTTTTCCTGCCTTAATCCAAAGACCACATACTAGAAAGCATAAATAATCATTAGAAGAGACACAAAGAAAAAAGAACCAAGTTTGGGTTTGTTTGTTTTGTTTTTTTTTTCAAAAACTAGCAGATGAAAAGATAAATCTTTAAAACTCCAGAACAATCTTTACGAACTAGCAATATATTCTGACAAAAAAAAAAATAAAATTGCCATTTTAAGTACTAGATAATGTATAACTATACATAAACAAACAGCAAAAGATAATTTTCCAAAGAAAGAAATAAGTCATTACTGACAAAACAGTGTTATGCCACACCTCCTCAAAATTTTTGAAGAAAGATTGTTTACATTTTTGAAGCTTGATCAATCTATAAATCCCAAGAAAAGAGTAAAGAAGAAAAAGGAATATTTAGCAGATATACTCTGGTAACAGAATATGATGGGAACTATAGCAAGATGAAAACTGGACTTACAATTACACCCTTACTTTATTTCTTTTGTTTTTAAAGAGAGGATGAGTTTAAATGAGTCAGCATATTGAGGAATGAAACAAACTGTACCAAATTAAATTAATCTTTGAATAAAACAACACAAAATAACTACCTGCACTAATCTCAAGTAGAGTCACACAAACATAAGCAGAAGAAAAAATGCTTCAATGGAAAGTTTGCCCAGGAATAAGTACTTTTTTGGGAGGAGGGGGAAGATGTAATTGCCCTTGTAAAATTTATTCAGATACATTTTTGTATCATTTGTTTTACCCTTAAACATCAAACACACTTGGCTCTCAATTTAAAGGATGTTTTATTTGGCTGTCAATTTTAAAAATTCGAAGTGATATCCCAATATCTCTGCCAGATTCTTTCTAAACTGGCCACTAAAAGTTACAAGTCTCCTTCAGAAGCTAGCTTCAGTCTCCATGACTGGCTTTTAGTTAAACATATTACTGCATTTCTAGCTTTTTCAGAATATAAGCTATTTGGAAAGAAACATGGAAGTCCACTATGTGGGTTTTAGACTAACATTTTCCTGGATAGGACCATCTTTAAGAAACTTGGAAGGCATAATTGCTAGAGGGTATTTTAAAATTAAAATAGCATTTGGACAGAAAGAAGATTGTCTGTCCAGTAAATTAACTGAGTACCAGCATACTATCAAACCTAATAGCTAGCTGTTACTGGCACAAGAAATAGCTTTACAATTACCTTAATCTTTTTTTCCTCAGTTTCCCTGCTTTAGAAAATGACCACGTCACTTAGAGATCTGAAAAATATTTACACATTTTTAAAATGTACAGCACTGTTTAAGAACCACCTCTTTGCTTTCTTAAAATGACCTCAGAATTGCAGTTCCCAACCTTAGTGAAACTCATTCTTCTGTGCATTAAAAGATCACTTTTATAGTTTACCATAATTATTATGATTACCTTTCTCACTTCCATAATAATAGAAGACCGTCTTGCTGATAGCACACCAACGCTTCTGCCACTCAAAGCCGAGAAAACTGTGGTCTGCAATTAATATAACTTGTGTTATATCACTTTATGTCACTACTGAACATAAATACGTTACTTCTTTTCAAGGGTGAGGTAAAAGGGAGGAGGAGACAGGGAAGGTCCTAAGGAAAGGAAACAAAATCTGGATATGAAGAAGAGAAATGTATGGCACTGAGGAGGAAATTAGAAATAAAAATTGGTGATAAGAAAACAAATGGGAATTTGAAATCATATAGAGAGAAATCATGTGTAACATTAAATATAAGGAAATAATGAACAACTTCCTAAATATTTCCTAGAGTTATTGCAGCATTAAGTGGGTATTAAAGTGACAATATAAGATTTATTGAATCAAGGTAAATATTGACTGAACCAAAGCTGAGATCAATATTTGCCCTCTTGAAGGAAAATAAATCTTGATGCTCACTGAAACATGAAGTCAACATATGGTACTTTTACACACATTCCTAATGTTTTCTTCAAAAATATCTGAAAGTCTCTGAATTATGGCTGACAGTGGACTTTCACAGCATGATTTTTCTAGTCAATAAAGAAATAGGATTTCCTTTTAATACTACAAGAGCAATTATGTGCTGTGCTGCTTTTGCATAATAATGCTTCAACATTTCAGCTTCTATTCCATTTTATTTCTCACTCCTGTATAAATTTATTTGTGTGTATAACAGAAAATAGTAATACATATACCTCCCAGATATAAAATATGCACTAGTTTTCACATAGTTAGACTTACCTTTTCTGCGTTTTTCCAGGTATCCAGCCTTCAGAACAAACTGAAGATCTTGAGCCGCAACAGGAGGAAACTGATTCCCTGAAAGAAAAGTAATTTCTGTAAAGCACCGCTTTTCAAGAAAAATACTATAGTAACATTAACAAACTTACAGATTTTATACTCTCAATATGCAGGAGCTACTGGAAAAAATATTTCTAGTAACTACTACACCAGATTATTTTAAATACAAAAGCCCTCTAACTATAAATGTCAGAGCTGTTGCTGCTGTCCTCACCACTTTAGCTGTGAGCTGTGTAGCAGGCCCTGCGAGTCTCAGAAGAAAAAATATGTAATTAAACAAGCTATGGCAACTTAGAAAACATTAGTTTGTTTTGAACGTGGTCTGTAAAGCAAGTTGGATAATGAAAGCAGTAAGTTTTCAAATATGCAAACAAAACAGAGTATCACAATTCAATACAATTAAATCAGGAATGTGGTTTTCAATAACAGCTTCATACAGAAACATCTTGAAACAACAAACAAGGTGAGGACCCTCTATTACACCATCTACCAGATCAGAAAGAAACCAGATAAAGAGATCATAAAAGGCGATGCCTGCTGTTGACAGACATTGCCTGATTTGCAATATGACACGTAAGTGCTGCCTATAGGATCTGTAAGGCAGTACTGGATAAACCAAAGACATTGCACAGAAATCTACAGAATTGCTGATCTACAGATACTAATTCTAGATTTTGTAGAACATGGCTGCATCTCCAAAATGGTGAGTATGTTCCACTGTATTTTTTTTCCTTTTTCTCAACTGCTAACTCAGAGCTAGAAGCATGAGACTGACCAGTCAACCCTGCCTCAATTTAAAATGTAAGTCTAGATGTTAAAAACCGCATCTTCCATCCTGCGTCCTTCCCCTCCTAAAACAACAGAATTATGATTTAAATGGAACTCCTAGCAATTAAGAACAGAAATATGCTAGATATGCCTAGTAATTAACACGCATATAAATGTCATACTATTTACCGCAAGCAAAAAAGCAGAACAAAAGCTATTCCTGTGCTACTGGTTTTTTTAAGGCATGTGAGCATCACAGTGAAGTTCCTACTACTTATTATCATCAAATATTCATAAGAGTCACTGTAGGTAGGTGGCAAGTTTACACAGCAGCAATTGTTCATCAAAATACATGTAATCTCATTAAGTTCTACCAATATAAACATACAAAAAGGCATTGATACCAGCAGACCATCCCTGTGCTAAAAAAAAACCACTTTAAACTATGCAGGGTGGGTTAATGATCAATTGTCTGACCTTGAACCAAGAACACTGTCTCTAGAAGGTGATGCCAACTTCCTGGATATTTAGGTTGTCCCTTAAAATAGATTTTTTTTTTTTTAATCAGTGTCCGCAAATGAGTTGGTTTATGGTGGTCATATTTAAATAAAGTTGTGAGAGGAAAAATACAAGAAAAAGAGGTAGGAACTTGCAGAGAATGTTATTTTTTTAAAAGTATGAGACTACTTAAAATGAGAATGCATTCCTTAAATAATACAACTGGCTTTTTAGACGACAAGAAGTTTTGTTGGATACCATAAGGTAGTAGATAAAATTTTACATACATTGACATTTCCACAGATTTTTTTTTTTATTAATATTATTTTTAAAGATTAGGAGTACACTACTATTTCAGCTTCTACGGAATTCTTACTGCTGTGTTAAAAATACAAGAGTTAAAATGCATGTACATGCATTTTTAAATGCTGCAGCTGTCCCCCCTCACTTGATAATATGCAATCACCTCACAACATTAAATGAGAGTTTAACACAAAGACACTCGCTGGCTCGCACATGGTAAGTTTAATAGTTAGTTTAAAAGATGATCTAATGATGACATTATGAGTGGGGGAGGTGAAGAGTTTTGCAAATATACATAGTGTGCTGCTTTATATTGGTCATTGGGAGGCATCAGTGTGCAACACTTACAGCTTTACCTCACCCAGTAGGGCTCATTTTAGAACAGTGCATCCCCACAGATGTGGAAGACACAAAACATAATTAAACAAACAAATGAAACCAATTCACTTTTAGTTTTTAAATTCAAGAATTTCAACAACTATTTGGATCTGATTTTATACATTCTTGTTCGCATCAGTTTGGTTTTTTGATGAGAAAGCTTGGCAAGTGATCATTTAGTGAACACTCAAATCAAATGGGACGCGTAGTCCCAAAGAAGCATATACTTTGGGGACTCCTTAATGCTATTCTGCCTATAGAAGCTCAGCTGAACCAACAACTTCAGAGCATCAAAATTCCACTCCCAATTTTGCTGCTTCTGCTGAGACAAGTCGGGATAAATTTGACAATGGTATTTTCTGAAACTACATTTATTTTGCATAGGGCACTGAAAGCTCATGAGGAAAAGAACCTGCATGAAGAAAAGGCAGTTTTCCACTGTTCTGGTGACACTGGAGAAAGAAGTCCTCCTCCCACCCTCAACCTGTAGAGAAGCCAGTTTCTTTTTCTGTTCTTCAAATCAACAGAGGCAGCAACTCCATGAAACAAGCAGCAGCTGGTCAGCCCCTCTGCTACTCACAATCTGTAAGTAGCCGAAGCAAAACCAGATCACATGCATATTACCATCCTTCTGTCAGAGAAGCCTGGGAACCACAAAACATGATGGAACTTTAGTAGAAAGGCAGGAGAAAGGGATGCAATTGTAATATCCCAAGACACGTACAGCTGTACATGAAAGAAAAAACATAAATCTGGGTAAATTCCTTCTTTCATTCCCCTGTACATCCAGAAGGAAGGGGAAGGAGAATAAGTAGTATGAAAAGTATAAAGAAAAGAGAAAGAACCACCTCCTCTCAGATTCTCATCAACCACAGGTGTTGTGCATATGTGCCGGGAAGAAGGCACAAACACAGATATACTCTTACCCCTGTACTGGAACAAATATAAGGAGGGAAAGAAAGAAAAGAGAATGACATCGTCCTTCCAGCTACTGCCTAGAGCCAGCATGGAAGACTCCTAAACCGTGTCACCTTTCTACCTTTCTTCCACTTTTTCATTACTTTACTCTCTTGTCTACATCTCAAACAGGATTTAGAGTAAACTGCAATCCCTAGATGTGCGACCTGCCAGCTGAAAGCTTGGGATTTGCATAACAGGTTGGTTTTTGCAGTTCCTTTCAATCAAAATGTTGCTTCCCCATTCATTTGAAATGGATCAGGCTTGGCACAAATCTCCTAAAAAAAAAAAAAAGTATCACTAAAGCAGCATTTGTTTACGTTACACTAGCAGCTGAGATCAGAGTCATTAGTTGACTACTGCATGGGACTTTGAATAAGACAACTCCTTCTACAAAGAAGCTATTTAACACGGAGAAAGACTGCCAAGAAAGAAGGCATTACTAATTTTTTTAATAAAGAACTGTGAAGCAAGTTAAAAAACTTGCTTCAAATCACATACTCCCTTAGAGTGTAAAGCTCGGAATTCCCAAATATTATACTCCCATGCATGCCCCAGCTTGTCTTCAGGACAAGGAATATTCTTCCCTTCCCTCACAGATACAGGTGAAATGGCCTGAATTTCAGTTTCCTTTAATTTCACTGGAGAATGTCCACTATAAGAAATAAAACATAGAGATGCAAGCAAATTGCATTCTAGGGATGCAAGATAGCACGCACTGGTATTAACTTCCTTAGGTACCTCAGTGTTTGTTGCTCAGATACTTATGATCAAACTGACTACCAGATTAGAGCAAAATTTCTCTCCCAAAATCAGACCAGCAGAGACCACCATGTCTTCCTATCTACTTCCTACCCCTGTATGGTTTGTTTCCAGATAAGTCTCAAGGATTTAGAAATAAAGATGTTAAAAAGGCCCAGAATCTTCCCTGGTTTCTCCTTTGGTACACTGTAGTTTCTGAAGCCAGTTTTAAGTACCAAAGACTGAAGTGGCACTGGAAATCAAGAAGTGCTCTGTGGTTCGCAGCTGTGCGAGTTTACAGGTGGAGAAAAGTACAACAATTGCTCCTGTGTACCCTTCCAGACCTAATTTCTGCTCTATCATGGCCATGACAGTGGTGGGCAAGCACACAGCTGAGGATTCAGAAAAACTCTCCTTTCCATTCCCAACTTTCTACCTCACAAATAATGTCTTGAACCTTCTTCTTTTGATGTGAAAATCAGGTCAATACGATCCAATATTTGGGGAGATTATTATCTTGCATTGCCAATATACAGTATAAAACGAGGGAGGTCCATCTGCTTAACATTAAAGGTTTTCCTTCTTTCTTGACCACCCACCCACAGATGAATCTCCCAGAATAATTTCTCTTTTTATTCTGGTGGGAATTACTTCAATGTAACCCAAACCAAAATCTGGAAGCTATGCTCCACATGCATAGTCCCAGACTGATGTATACAAAGTCCATCGAAGACCAGATCAAAATATTTATAAGGCCTAAACCTTCAAGTTTTAGAGAAAAGTAAATTACATGTATAACGCACCAGGTTCTTCCTCTTGGTTCTAGGCACCCTTGTGCCAAGTGAGCAGCTGGCAGTTATTATAATGCTATTGCTGCCAGGCTAAAAATTCCTCCAGTAAAAGAGAGTGAAATGCTCTCACTCAAGCATAAAGCCAGCTTTTCTACCAGTCATGCTTTGACTTCCAAAAAACATGAACATTATAAACATAGGTGTATTAATGTATAGGTTCCACTGCACAAATCCCGCAAATTCAATATATCTTGTGACTTCAGAAAGGCCACAGACTACAGCTTATGGGATGGCTACAATTTTAAGCAACTTGGTAATCAGACAGTCAAAAGTCTGAATAATGCAATTTTACACCCTACTGCGATAGTGAATTTGGCCCATTACTTAAAAACAGTTTCATCAGTGTCACTTCACATGATAAAACATGAAATTCAATCATTATGCATGGAATTTTGATTTTTGGAGGACCCGAAGGTGTTAAAATTTCATTCTGTATACAAAATAAATAAAACAAAACCAAGTTGTATTATTCTGCATTGTATACCAATAGGAATATTTTTTATTTCTTCAATGTGGGCTAAG